GGCGACGGTTGGCATCCATTGGGGGGGATCACGGGGGTTGGGGGAAATAGGTGGCATCCACTGAGGGATAGGGAGCAGTAGAATCTGCTGGAGGGACGGGGGACAGGTCAGATCTGTGGGGGGTTGCTGTGGTCCAGGAGGGTTTGGTGGGGTCAAAGGGGTTCATGGGGGGGCTTGGGTGGGACCAGTGCCTATTTTTAGGCCCCAACCCCTTTGGAGAATCTATACACCCCTCTGTCCTGCCCCCTCCCCCCACTGATACTTACTTGCTCAACTCCCTGCAGTGGCAAACACTGATAAATCTAGCACTCAGAGTGGTTTGTGGAATGAGGGTTGGCAGAGTCTGGCTTGTCTGCATGGTGGAGGTAGTGAGGAGCTGGAGCCAGGGGGTTGAGCATAAAAAATGCAGTCCCGGGGATGGAGCCAGGGGCTGGGCTTTCTCAGCCCCTCGGGCTGTGCAGGTATGGCAACTAATGTACAGAAGTACCATGGACCAGTCTAACCAAGATCAATTAAGCTTGAGCATACATCGATCCACGTCTATCTTAGACTGCGTTCTGCCATTCTTAGACTATCTGTGTGCATGGAACTTTGGTACAGTTATGGGTTTATACTGATTTGCAATCACTGAGACGGGATCTAAGTGCAAGGTCCACGCCTAGGGAAATTAAGTTACATATGGTGGCCATTTTTTACCTAATCTAACCTCCCCCTAACCCCACCAGATGTCTGCATTCAGCCATAGAGGCTCAGTTGTCTCTGTTTTGATTACTGAACATACAGAGCTTCTTGGTTTTGCATTTGATTTTTAGGGGGAAAAACTGAAATGACGAAAAATAAAGTTTAGTTTTTACTGCAGTAAAATTTTATAGCAGCCAAAGGGTCTATTTGGGATTTAGCACCCACCAATTAGAGCACCCCCACTCCTCCATCCCAATACCTTACTATCTAAAGTAAACATTTATAGGGTATTTGCCTGACTTCATTTCTTTGGGCCTTTTTGGTCCATCCTTGCTAATCTAGATGAATATCTATAGTGAATAATTACTCTATGGGCACATCTGAATGGGCTGTTAATGCAGCTGAATAAACTCTGGAGCAGTTTGCACCAGAGTTTATTGCTCCTAGGCACTGTATTTGCATGTGCACCCAGGACCACCATGTGTTGAGCCAAGGTGGAGCAGCCCTGGTTGGCAGTGGGCCCAGGGGTCAGTCTGCCAGCCCAGGACTGCTCTGACCTAGCTCAACATGCCACAGAGCATCTGGCTATAGCATGAGGATGCTTCAATGCAGGGCTAGCCAGCAGGCAGGTCCTGCACTGAAACACCCTCATGTCCCGTCCAGCCCCATCAGCATCTACATGTGTGTTGCGGTGGAGTAAATAACTCCACCATAGGATAGTACTTCTGGGTGCATCTACATGAGACATTTATTATGGAGTTGCCTAATTAGCTCCACAGTAAAGTCTCAGGGTCTCCCTGTATGGTTCTATTAGGCCACTGTAAGCTACTAAATGCTGCCATAGGTTAGTATTTGTCAACACAAGTACTATCCTGGGGTGGTGTTTGGTACAGAACAACGCACATATAGATGCTGACAGGGCTGGCTGGGTGCTTCATTATGGGGGCTGCCTGCCAGCTAGTCCCACACTGGAGCACCCTTATGCCCAGCCAACCCCTGTGCAGCATGTTGAACTGGGTCAGAGCAGCCTCAGACTGGCAGGCTGATTCCCTGGATCCCCTACCAGCCAGGGCTGCTTTGACCCAGCTCACCATGCTGTAGTCCCAGGCACATGTGTAATGCAGTGCCTGGGAGCAATAAACTCTAGCATGAACTGCACCAGAGTTTATTCAGTCACATTAATAATATGTGTAGACACACCCTGTGCCTGGTACTGCTATCCTATGGTGGAGTTAATTAGTTTACTCAGTCATAATAGCACCACATATATAGATGATGACATTTTACTGTGGAACTAACTAGTCAGCTCCGCAGTAAATGCCTCATGTATACGTGCCCTATATGACCAATTCTGTTTTAAAATGTGTCCTCTCTTCCTCTTCTCCCCCACTCTCCTTAAAACATCTATTGAGATAGACACCTTGTCTTTACATTATCTGGTTATCTGCTTTATTATTATCACAGTATATAAGCCCATGTTTTGCAGTCAGTATGTGAAACGACATTGTCTGCCCTAGAGAGATTACAATATAAGTATAAGACAAGAAACAAAAGAATATGGAGAGACCACAACAGAAATCTGAAGAAACAATGGGACAGTTCTGGCCAACATGATAGTAGTAGTTTTGATAATGCCAGATATTGTCAAGCATTTTCTAGACATCAAGGCAGAGGAAAATGTAAGGAATTATGAGAAGTAACATAAAAGGGGGCTTTGCACATGTTTATAGAAAGGTACTTCCAGTGTGAGGGGCAGAATTGAAGAAAGTTTGAAGATTTTTATGTGAAATTTAACAGGCGGGCAGTGGCAACTACCATCACAGGTCTACCAGATCAGGGAATCCACTACTTGATACTGAATGAGAGATGATGAGGAAGGAGGAGATAGGCGTGAAGGCTTTATGCCTGGACACTTCATGTTGGACTATGTTTTAATTTCTTGTTCTTTTTTCCTCTCAACTTCTTACCTGAAAGCTTAATGGCATTAATAAAAAAAAGGGTTTTTTTCCCCTGGCCTTCTCAAAAAGAGTTTAATCAGAGAGAAAGTAGCTGGTTGTTGCTTCAGACAACATTTCATTATTCTCTATTGATTGTTTTTGACACCCCTGGAAATAATACTGCACTACCAATGCAATTAGAAATAATGCCTGTCTCCAGGATAATTGTCATATACAATCACACACAGAGCACAAGATTAAATTATCTAAAAGTCATATATAGTAGCAAGTGCAATTTATATCTGATGATACTGTCATAGGCTCCCAAGAGTAGTTGGTGTGAATTTTTACCAAAAAGAGAGACTTCCAAAAATGTCTGCTCTTATAGCAGTAAAACATATAGGAAACCTACATTTTCAAAAATCACTTAAAATCTTGGTTGGTGCATTAATTTTAAGTTATAAAATGGATGTCCTGAAAGAGTATCCAAGGCATACAGTTCTGAGACCACACTTATTGATATGACCATGCACAAGAAGAGTTTTGGGCTCTTTTTCTGATTTCTTTGAGTGTTAAAATGATATACTGCCAGACAAAAACAGTCAGGGAAAGTGGAAATCTTGTAGTTTTCTAGTAAAAGAAAAACAGTAAGGTTAATGTTTCAACTGCTAAGGTAAACTGACTAAGGAAAAGGAAACATAGAACTTTTTATCATCTTAGACCTTTCTGTATCACCTCTATGCAGAGTTCCCATTGACTTTCAGAATGATAGCTATTTACAATATGTAAGTTAAACACTTGTTGGCTGCTTTCCTACCCATTAAAGACTTTGAGAAGATTCAGAAAAAAACATTTAATTTTGTGCTTGTTTGTAAAACAGTGTCTACCTTCCCATTAACTTTAATGAGAAAATAATTAGATTGTCATTGTGCTTTTTTGAAAATCTATGCCACAATATGTAAGTGTTTGTGAGAGAGAGTGAGCTGCCTTGCCTTTGAATACAAAAATAATATAATCTGCAGTTTGAGTTACCCATACTTAGGTTACTGAATATCACAATATCCTTGACTTTAAGGAAACGTTAAAGTAAGCAATTTTAACATTATTGCACCTAGTTGCATCAATAAACCTTGACCATCACTGTGCTAATATTGGGCTTATTCCCAAAATTTTGAAGTAGAGTATCAGACAGGGTATAGAGCAATAATTCTCAACCTTGGAGTGCCACCAGATCCTTTGAAGGGTGCTGTGAGGTTGTGGAAATAAACAGATAACTACAGGCTCCGGCTTGTCTCTGCCTGGCTGATCTCATGCCCTACTGCCCAGCCCCTCTTCAAGAATATACAATGTAATATATACATTAATATTTTGAAATTGGGTGTCATTCAAGTCACAAAAATTATGGAGGGATGCCTTAAGTCCAGTGCAGGGTGCCTTGAGCCCATAAGGGTTGAGAACAACTGATATAGAAGTATAAATACAAGACTATAATACATATTTTCATAGGTTAAGGTCACAGTGGATATAACTTGGTTTTCAAATAAAGGTAAAATCTGATAGCATTGCATTAGATAAAGACTTAATACAAATCAGCTTTGCATTTGTATTTTCCATTCCATATCTAGGGTAGGTAAATTTGAATGTAATTAAATGGCTGTTAATTAACAATGTTTGGGGTTTTTTTTTACCTATTTAACTTTCTTTTTTTTCCCTTTTTTGGCCCAGCTTCAGATGAAGAGGAACCAACTTCCACAGGTAAGAATGCCTTATGATTTACATTTTAATTACATTAACGATTTTAATGCCTTTGTGTTTTTATGTTAATCTTAGTCTGATCCCATGGCGTTTAAGGGCAGTACTGGTCATTCTCAATGCTGTATTTTCCCTTTTTTCTTTTTGCTAATTCATTGGGTGATATTGGAGGCATGAGTATCATCTACAAAGAGTTATTTACCAGTTTAAACTGATTGCCAGTAATTCAAGGTAGTCAATAAGATAGTTGTAAATTTCAATATCTAATTTCAAGTTAGTAGAGCAAATTAGAAAACCATCAATTTTTAAACATCTGGAGTAGGAAGGGTTGATCACTAGCAGGCAACATGTATTTGTTAAGGATAACTTATTTCAAACCAACTTAATTTAATTCATTAACGGAGTAACTAGATTGGTGGATGAAGTGCACGTGAAAGTCATACTTTTCTTGGACTTATTGAGGCTTTGATATGGTCCTAGATGATATTCTCATAAGTAAACTGGAGAAATGTGGTATAGACAAAATTATTGTTACATAATACATAATTGGATATATAATCATAAGCAGAGAGTAATTATAAATGGAATGATGTCAGAATGGCAAGAGTGTTCAAGAGAGGTTCCACTGTTCAGACCCAGTGTTCTTTAACGTTGTAATGATTTGGATGCCAGAGAGAGTTTTCTAATCTTAGTTTTTAGATGATACAAAAATGGCAGGAGTTGTACACACTTTGGAGGTTAGTATTAAAATTCAAAAGGATCCTACAAATAGGATTTAGTTCTAGACAACAGAATAAAACTAAAATATAAGATGCTATACTGAAGAATTAAAAATAAATTCAGAAATTCAACTTCAAAATTATATAATAATGGTATATATAATATAGTCTTAACATATGTGTATTACACATATAAGGAATGAAGAACATCTACTTAGTCCTTTAAGGGAATAGTTGTAGGAGAGAGTTCTGGGCTGTATGGATACCAGGTGGATTTAGCCACAACCTTGTGCCCTGAGTCAGGTACTTCCCCTCCACAACAGAGTAGGATTTTAAGAAGCATTCTTCTATTAAGCATTCTGTTATTTATCAATGACTGGTAGCATCCCATTCAGGTCTTGGAGTGCCTGTGAAGATACCTAAATCACTTTGTACATTTTATAGGCAACTTTGGCATCTAACTCAGGATTGTGGGTTCCATTCCATGATCAAGGAACCTAACAGCTAAGCAGTTTAATGCCTAATGCTTAGATACTTGATTCACATAATAAAGCTAGTCCTTTGTGCTTTTCCATCACAGATGGTCCTATATCTCCTTTCCATCTCAGAAAGGTCTTAGGATAAACACTTCAAAAGTGTGTGGTGCTCAGATACTATGATAATGAAGGTGATATAGGGGCCTTGTTACACACTGCACTTCGAGCTGCTCTGCTGTGGATAGTACTAGCTTGAGTTTGGGGCAGTCATACCTTAAGGCTAAAAACCTTCTCTGGTTGCTCCCCACCTGCACAGCTGTGATTTACCACTAGAGGGCTGGAGAGCAGGGGCCTGACTAGGCTCTACAGCTGTGAATTGCCACTACAGGGCTGGTGAGCCAAGACAGACTTCTATCCCTGCTCTAGGTATAAGAGAGTATTGCTGCTGTAGGTGGGGGTGTGAGAGAGATGGGTTGGGGATGGGAAGTGGGCAAGAACTTGAAGCTTGGAAGTGGAGAGTAAATGGGATGGGGGTGGGTAATGAAATGGGAAGTGGAAAGTAAATGGGGGTGGAGGAAGGGTGGTAAAATGAAGGAAGTCAATCACTGAAAGATAAAATAAAAAGAAGTGACTCCCACCAAAAAAAACCCCCAACAACAAAAATATTTTTAAAAGAAATAAAGAAGTAAATCAAAGCAGGTATCATGTTTTAATAAATTGGGATTTGGGATTGGGGTGTAGGGTGGGCAGGTCATGCTTCCCAGAGTACCTGTGAGGTGGGAGTGATGAGGGGAGGTGCTTTTGGGAGAGCTACTACACCTGCTCCAGGAAGGAAGCCCTAGCTCATGGGGATCTAATCTGCCCCCCTACCTTGTTCCCTCCCCCTTCCTCAACCCCCATTCCTGGATCCGCTTATGCTTTGTGAGCTGGCTAGCTGGCATGTGTTCTGCAGATTGTTTGAATGGGGTTGCACCCCGGGGGGTGAAAAGGTCACACCCCTGGGGGGGCAGGAGGGGGAGTTGGCTTGGTGCCAGAACTGCCTCCTGGGTGGGTGGCATAGTTCAGACAGAGGAAAGTTTGCCGACACAGAACAGGAGGGTGGGGGAGGAAGCATTGTATCCTGAGATGCTAGAGGACTGCAACTTGGGCAGCTCATCTATGGGGAGTGGCCACACATTAATGGAACACAAACTAGGTAACCCAGATCAGAGGTAAACCTGTCCTGGGTTGGCATAACTTTAAGACACCTAAAGTGTGTTTTAGTTGTTAATGTGTGGATAATCCGGGGGTTAAGAGCTCCAGGAGCTGCCCAGAACTAAGGCATAAAGTACAACAAGGTGTAAAGTAATTAAAATACAAGGGAGAACAGTAAACAAAAACACAGGGAGAGGAAAAAAGAGTAAGAATAGGAAGGATAAACATTGAGTAGAGATGGAAAGTAGGCATGGAGTAGCAAAAAGAGTAAAATGAGGCACAGGAAGCTATTAGTAGGGAAACTGACTTGAGAACATACTGTGTGATAAAGCAGTAGGATTGGGAAGGACACGGAGATCAAGGGGAAGAGAAGCATTTGGGTGTATGGGGGTGGAAATTACATTGCTTAAAAACATACTTTAACTTTTCTTAATTTCCATCCATATATGAAAATCTATTGTAGATTAATCTTCCAACATTTAAATGTTGATTAGCACATCTTAATAAAGCTGTAACAGTTTTTCAAAAAACAGTAAATGTCAAAACCAGTCACAGGTAAATCAGTTTTATTTAAATCATGCATGGCTGATCTATTTTCATATTAAAAATTAGCTGGGGAACCTGGTATATCTTAACCTTTTGCAAGTGACTTTAGCTTGCATGCATTTATTTACATGGGGACACGGTAAGTTTGGAGACATGTAATTGATAAATACACTCTAGACACCCTCAAATGCACAAGGGTAGTTTGTGAACTTCTCACACTGGTAAGTAGCCACTCTCAGGTAAAAATGCTCTCATTTTTCTTGATTAGAAAGTCACATGCATACTATCCTGGAGTGCTTCTAGATCTACGCCTGAGATTTCATAGGCCTCTCAGTCTGGAAAAAATTACTACTCAGGTTCTTGGGCATACCAGACTTTTAGTTGAATGACACAGAGGAGTATAAGTGTTTATTATGAGTGTAATTGTTTAGATTGGTGGGGATGTTTTTGGGGGGTGGGGGGATGAGGGGATTAACTTCTTGTTAATACTGTGCCCTATACCAATATTTTGAAATATTTCCTCCAAATAATTCTTCCACTCTGTAGACCTGAATTAATTTGCAGTGAATGCCTTTCATTTGTGTGATGGAATATCCACAGCAACTCACAATTTCCTTGAATTCATTTATTATTGATGACTATTTTTGAAAATGGCCATGAATACATTTTGAAATATTTTCCTGTAGGAATTGATCTCAAATACTTCAAATTCAAATCATGTTTCTTAGGTTTTTTATTTTTTATTTTACACACACTATTTTTCTAGTATTTATTTACACCACTACAATTAAACCAACATAATTTATCATATGGATACTGCTATTTAAAATAGATTTGACTTTTTCAGTTGTTCCCAAAAGCTGCTGTTATTCTGAATAAGATTGTACCTACAGGTGGTAGGCTGATCCAGCAGAGTTAATAAATTTTTCCAATTTTCCTATGCAGATAGGCTCTCTGTTGTGGATCAAGGACCCATTATGCTCGATACTGAAAACACAATGTCTTTGTTTTGGTTTATTTTGTTCTGTGATTTGATTATATATGCACATACTTCTGGGTCAAGTACTTGTACATGTATGAGCTATCAGTCTGTGAATTTATACAGGTTGAAATACTTTTTGAAAACAGTTGCCTCAGCTGTTCAGAAAGTAGTTGTTCAGAGAATGCGAATAAAAACCATCAAATATCTCTTAAAATGTGGATGAATGTAATAGAAATGCCATGCATAATTCAGTCTGATGCTACTTCTCAATTACATCAGTGGGACTGATCAGGATTTTTTTGGTTGTTTTGTTTTTTGATAAAACTGTTTTTCTTTGGAAGACTGATTCATTAAAACTAATTTTTTTAACAGAAATATATCAGTTTTGATTAAAGTTTCTCAGGTCCAAGATGGAATTTTTGTTCAACACAACTGTTATTAGGGGATTCATCTGGGAAGTGGAAGAAAGCATATTCAATTCTCTGTCCTGAATCATACAGAACAGAGCAGAAAAAAGAAACAAAGCAAAATGAACAAAAAAATAATCCAAAACCAAAACCCCCACATCTTTTAAAAGGTCTGCTTTAACGTACAATAGGAAAAAACATTGAAATCTTGCCAGATGGCATAACCATTTGTCACCCATCTGTAAATGTCAGAGTTTAGGTCTCACAAATACCCCAAATTTGCAACGTAAGTGGTATTAATTTGTGTCACTTTCTTGCAGCAGATGTCTATTTGCTTTATGGCTGGAGACCCCAGGCAGCACAGAGTGGGTCCTGGCATGGTGCAATGCAGGTCCTGGTAATATGCAGGTACACAGAATGGTGTGGGACCTGATGCAAGTCCTGGTGTGGTGCAACAGCACAGTGCAGCGTGGGACCCGCCACGGGTCCCAGCACAGTACAGCAGCACCGGACAGTGCAGGATCCAGTTTTAGAGCACCAAAGGATGTAGGGCATCCCTGGGCATGACTCTGAAAACAAGGAATCCAGAGTTCTCCCATTTGTAGAGGTGTGTCCTGAGTGTTGTCACTTAGAATTGGGTCACAGGAGCAGGAGGGACTTGACCCCATGGGACAGTGGG